TGACTGTCTGCCCCATCAGAGAATTCGTGTCCGCCACCAGCTAGTCGATCTGAGCCACGCCCACTAGCGGACCCCGTCCCACTGCCGCTACTCGGAGGCTGTCTGTAGCGGCCATATACGAAACCCACTCCGCCATTGTCGGTTCTACCCCTGCAATGATGTCATGTGCCGTGAGGGAAAAGGGGAGAAGACGCTGTGATGACTCTATGATGTTCCTTGTTATGGATCAAATATAAGATTCCTTTTTTTAAAAGATTATCAAAGTTGTTATTACTAAAGACTATATTTATCATTACTCTTTCTGCAAATATTAACTCATTACATTATAATCAGTGAAAACTACATATTATTACTTTAAATATTTTTCAAACTAACAATTGTTTCTTTACCAATTCAAATAAATAACTACGTTAATCTTCATAGCAAGAAACAAACGGGAATCCTTAAAAAAAAAGAAAGAAAGAAAGAAAAAAAGAAAAGAAATAGAAACAAAATCACTCCAAGCATCAGAAAATAATGGAGACAAACCACAAAAATGTCTCCAAGAAAATTGAATAGAAAATCCTGAGACAGACAGAAGAAACAATGAACACTTACTACAAACTACTAATGCTGTGACCCATGCACAAGGAAGCAAACAGGACAACAGAGGAGGAGCACAGACACTTAATGGAAAGGTTCTATTACTGACCTTTCTGTGATGTATGCTCATTATACTGACCCAATGCCAAAATTTTAAACACCATATTTGGACAAAAAAATAAAAGGGAAAGAAAGATTCCTGAAATATTATGAACTGAAATTGAAGTCACGTTCTTATCTAAGTCGGTCTAAGACCTTGTTGCTGCTTCATAAAAAAATGATAAAAAAAAATCATAATAATGAAAGAGAAAAAAGGAGTTCCCATAAAAATTAGACAAAATAGCATAATATTGAATGGTGTTTCAAATTTCTTCTATCTATCATTTCTTCTTTAAAAGATAATTCACTAATCTACTAAGCTTTATTGAAGGAAGTAATGCAAAATTTTAGCACAATATCATATATGAATAAAATCTATAAGCAGGATTATCAATAAAAAAAAAAAAAAAAAAAAAAAAAAAAATGCATCAGTTTCCATAAAATTGTGAGAAACATCAAAACAAAATCATTATGCCACATTTCACAAGTTAATTTCCCCAAATCTACATATAATTCAGTTTGACATTAAATGTGAGCTACATAGTAGGCAATTCTTTTTCAAAAATTCACTTATTGGCAGTAGTATGTGTTGTCAGATAGCCTTTTAACCTTTCTGTTGTCCTATGGAACTATTTAGGTATGGGCATCATCAAATTACCTGAGAGATACTGTTAATGAGTTATTAGTCAATTTAGTAGTAACTATTTCTTCAAGTGTCAGTGAGTCAGTAAAACAGCAGTTGACACATATGTAATAATGCCTTCTGTGGTTTGTCACTGGTTTGTGCAACAACTGAAATATCATAAATCATATAATGCAGTAAAGAAGGCTTTCCAATAAAATAAGAAAAAAACATGTGTAAAAGAATATCAAAGCCTTTCCTTGCACACTGATTATTCTCTCCCTAAAATGCTTTCAGATATACCTAGGATGAAAACATACTTAATTACTTAATCAACATGAAAAAAATTGTATCCAGTGAATATGATTCCAGCAAAGTGACTACTGTTTCTTTATAATGACTTGAAGGCCAACTACTGTATTTTCATGTTATCATCAATGTCAGCATACGGTAATCAATGATTTTCTCTTTGACCTTAAGCTCTTTTCTCATATATTTAGCTATTTCCAATAAATCAGTATACTAATCCATCTATCCGCCCATACACCTATCTATCTGTCTATCTATAAACAGATATATATATATATATATATATATATATATATATATATATATATATATATATATATATATACATATATATATAAGTTTATATGTATATATATCTATACACACATACACACACATATGCATATAAATATCTGCAAAAATATAACTAAACATACTTCAGGTTAAGATATATTATGTGATCCTTACTTGTTGCACTATAGACAACAGGAAAGTAAGCAAATCTGACACATGTGGGTGATAAATTTACCTAAACTTACTTTGAAATCATTTAAGAGATGTAAAAATATGGAGCTACCATCTACAGTTAAGTGATTTCATGTTTTGCATGCCTATTAATGATGCAGCAAAATTTACAATCATATTAAACAGCTGACGAAAGCTTGAATTGTTTTTAATAGGGATGAATTCTGATATAGCAAATAAGCAGTGCGAACTCTAGCATTATAGATGTACGTGTTAACTTTGCAACAAATGAATATATATTTTTTCTTTCATTTAACTCAAATTTTCATTCACACATACATTCATATGAAATATAAAATCTACATGCCAGGGTATATTCATGAGGTGTTGTATATAAGTTGTGACTGAATAATCCAATAATGGGGGGGGGGGGGGACTTTCCTA